GTAAGACAAAGAGGAGATGGGGTTCTACATGTGGAAACTCAATAGAAACTCTAATGAGATTTGTAAGTTTTTGTTTGGTTCAATTTTTTTTTAGATATCAAAATTTAATTCAATAATTGAATAATATTTAAAAATTATTATTATGTAGATTAGAATCCCTTTGAAGATAATCTACAATTGTTGATGCCCGTTAAAACCTCTTTGAAGATACTACACTATTGTGGATGCTTAAGACTTTTAATGTCGTTATTAAAATATTTTATGTGCATTAAAACTCTTCGATTCGGCTATTTCGAACATCTTACGTTAAACCGAAGTGACCAGCTCCCGCGTATACTTGAGTAACCATTATGAATCCTTGGATTACGTCAAATTTTTTTTGTCTTTTTTATTGTGAACTTATGGGATTCAATTGTCTCATGTCTTTTCGAATTCTTCTTTGTTAGGCCTATATTTAAAATATGTACTTTTCGTTGGATATTTTGACGAATAATGGTTGAATAATTCACCATTAAATAAAAAAACCAATGATTAAGCATTCCTACTTCAAAATTCAGTCGTGGTTGATAAATGTAGATGTTTTAAGTGAAAAAATATTCAGCTATTGACAAGTTAGTTATGAGAAGTAATCTAAGTTTCAATTCGAGATATTAATTCCGATTATCATAAAAAAAAGTAATACCATAATTTTTATTTTTATTTTTATTTTAGTATTGAAAAAACAAACACAAAGTTATGCAAATATTGAATGAAGTTGACAAAATGCCAAATTGGTTTGTCCGGTAGAAACCCAACTCATCTTCTTCTTCTTTTTAATTTCCTGTCCTTTTTCAAATGATATTGTTTCTATCAAACACTAAAACTTGGTTCGTGTTATATATTGTTAATGTTGGTGTCTAATCTCATCCATGAACCCGGTCCATCTTCACGAAATCCTATACATGACTTCCGGTTCCGGACAAACGAAGGGATATGGACTAATCTAATCTTAGAGATAGTAGGTAACAAGCGTATATTTACTTATTTAGTGAGAGTAACTCAATTAATTGAGTGATACCTTGGCGATTTAATTAACAGAGTTACATATATCATCACATTATTTAGCAAAAAAAAGAAAAATTATATATATCATCACATTTCTTTTTATTGCATTCGAATGTAATTACAAACATCTCTAGGATCGATCTATTAATGCAATACATAGCAAGAGAGCTCAGGAGGGATATATAAGGAAGGGAGAAGATGAAGCGTAAGAGTATACAACAAAATCTTGATCGACTTAGCAAAAAAGAAGAACTAATGTAGAAACTCGACGGAAACGAGAAATCTAGAAGATGCACATAGTAAGAAGGGTTAAAAGGGTAGAGAAAAGGTCTTACAAGGTCAAGAAAAAGCAGAGGATATATTAATTTAAAAGCTCAGGGTAAGATAGCGTCATTTATTTGATCATGAAGAAGAACAAGTCATGATCATCGTCTTCTTGTTTTTCTTGAAGCATTCTTTTTGTCCTAAACCAGAAACAAATTAATGCAACTATACATAAGTTATATAAATCATTATGTTTGTGTGTGTGTACCTTGAACATGACACTTTGATGGTTCTTCAATCCATGAAACGCTTCCCCATTCATCCATAGCTAGAGAGAAATAGAGAGTGCCTTGCGTGAATTATTCCACTATATTTATAATGAGGTATGCTCAGTAGACGAAAACACCGGTACATAAACACAAATTCTGTCATGTCCATGAAAAAAAAAATATTTTTTCTTTTGACATATATTTTTAGTATATTTTCTATATTCTTCACACGTGTGACAGAGAATCAATCTATTGACAAAATACTCAATTTTCTTTAAAATTCATCATATAACTCAATAAAGTCATCCTATAACTCAATGTTTCTTGTATATTTGTAAATAGGTTTATGGCTTATTATTGTTTATCTGAAACTTATAATATTTGTAAGTTTATAATAGTTGTAAGTTCTGAATCAATTTGCAGCATCATTCAACTGTGAACTCGGTTTGTAACGTGTCATCTTCTATGAAATACTAAGAATATAATTAGAATACCTTTTATGATTATTATCGTAATGTTTTGTAGATGTCAGTTAAGGTATTATAGCTAGCGACGAAATTATTTCATTTTCTTTGGAAATATAAAGGGAGATGAAAAGCAACAAAATGGAACAGAGAAATAAAAAGGTATAAGAAAAAAAGCAAAAGGAAAAAAAAATGGACAAAAGCAAAAGGGAGCAAAATTGAAGAACTTAAGGAAGCAACTTAAGTTGCCTGAGGAAGATTGGGAAACTGATGTGACCAAAGACACAAATCATTGAGACAAAGCTACAGAGTTCCGACAAATATTTCTCCTCAGTTACATTTTCACTCCTTTTAATAATGCATCACCATTATATGCATGCGTACACATATATATGTACCGTATGCGCGCAGTATGTAATGTATATGTACGTAGATTACTAGACATTTTGTATATAGATTAGGGCTATATATAATAGATATGAAGTTTGCCCATGACGAAGCAAGATCTCAAGATATCCTTCATTTGTTGTGGAAGACTAAATGAAAGAATCATAATACATAATACGGCATCTCTAAATCTCTAATACTATTCTGCGTACCACATATCACTTTTTGCTAATTTAAAATTTAAACATAATATTATTAGTTAGGAATTACTATAGAACTCACGCAAGCACTGCGCATGCATGCAAAATTGTTTCTTAAACACAATTATAAGAAACTATGAATATATGAAATGTCCACAACTTG